TAGATTATGGTATATTGGTTCATATACCATAATGGCTAAGCCAATAAAAAGTCTTGAATTGCATTATCCAATGATCCAGTTTTTAATAATATTGATTATTCTCTGATCACTGTTTCTTTCTTGATACACGAATGAGGAGAAGGTGGGGTTTGAATTTTTGTTGGCATTGTTTCCAGCTCATAAGCCTTGATTCATAGTTTGGCCATATTTTCTATATCCGAGGCTGTGATATAATTTATTAATTTTATTTTACCACATTATACCACATGGACCTCAGGTAGGTTGCTTGATTGTCATCTGTTGATCATGTCAACTTCCCTTGCACCTGTAACACTATTTTCAAACATAGGTAGTCTGGCGGGTATTCGAAATTGAAGTTTACGGTTTGGAGGCCGAGGTAAACTTCAACTTCCGGTAACTTTTGTTATGCTTTACAACCTGAAAAGTTGCGTAAGAGATTGTATACTGATGCAAATTAACGCCGGTTCGATCAATGACGAACATTTGACAATAACAAAGCAAGGCAAACTGCGCAGCGTTGCAGAAATGATACAAGTTATTTTTTCGTCCTCTGAAAAAAAAATTATAAGTGAAAATATTTTTCGCGTGATCAACATGTTCAACAACTCGACTGGTGTTTTCTCACGAAATGCTTACGTCGAAGATACAGCATGTTTCCAGTACATTTCTTAAAGATTTAATAAAATTTTCGTTAACTATAGAAGTTGTTTGGCAGTGTGTTTCAAATCATGATTGGATGAATGCTTTATATGAGGAAAAGATAAACAAATTTAGATGTTCGAGCCCGTGGTGAAAAAAATTTGGCGTAAACTGAGCGCAACGGGAGTCGTCATTGAATGAAATGAACACCGGCTAAGCTATAACAGTGCATGGACGTATCCTTGTTGTTTTGCATTCCATGTTTACAAAGCGATCGGTTTGTTTGTTCGGGATTAAAATATACCAACACGCTCTGAAAACCTAATTCATATGTTTCTAGACACGTTTGCAATAGACTAACAGCGGTGAAAAATAAATTGGCGAAAGGTTTACTACTCACCGATGGCTAGTGCAGCCAACAGCTTAACGACGGGTTGTAAATCTCCTCTGTCGCCACATCCAGGGAAGATTGGCTCGATCACGTAAGCTCCAAACGCCAAGCAGATGATAGCAACTTGCGACGGCTTTAGCACAATGACAGACGTCCACGAATAGAGAAAAGCTACCAGAGGACCAAATGCTTCGTACAAGTATACGTACTCTCCTCCGGATAAGGGAATCATTGTGCCGAGTTCAGAGTAACACAGCGCTCCGAATATCGCCAAGACGCCGCAAAGACTCCACACAATCAAAGTCAGTCCAACAGAGCCACTATTTTCCATGACATAGCGAGGCGAAGCAAATATTCCAGAACCGATCATAGTTCCTACGATAAGACTGATTCCACTGACAAGGCCAAGCTTTCGCTGCAACCCAACGTAACTTTTCTGCTGAGCTGGTCCTCCCTCTTCATTGTGAAGTAGGTTTTCGGCGGTGTTATCCTTAGCTTCACCAGAAAGATATTCCTCGCTACCCCAGTGGTTAGCAGGTTTACCTTCGCCTGCATTCCCGTTCTCCATCTTGGTTGAGATCGCGGAAAAGCGAAGGTGGTTAACTTTAGCACGTGGCGGGTCAAGTTGCTTGCAATCCTCTATGGAAATTAACGCATCCTTGGCGGCCTTCTAATGTAAATCATTTCACTTCTAGAGGCGTTAGCCAATCAAGAGACAGACGGTGAACTTGAAAAGTTATCCTTCCAATTAGTTTGTAAGAAGAACAATTGAATAGTACAGCCAGATCCAGCACACAAGACCTTTGCCCTCGCTTGACTGGGATTAGCTTGGGCGCGAAAACCTCTTAAGCTTTATTTGGAGATAAGAGCTTAAGGAAAGGTGTTGTTTTAAAATGTTGTTGCTGTATTTGCACTCAAAAATCAGTCCTGACTGATAAGTGACTGAAAGCGCGAACTCCAGCCAAAATTATCGTGCTATCAATGAACTGTAACATGTGAACCAATTCTCAATAGTCACGCAATGAATGTAACAAGGACACTTACGTTTACGCCGGCAAAACCATTGCGTAAGGCAAGCAATACTACAAAAGCATATGTCTGAACGTGAAAACTTGGTAAATTCACCCGTACTTGATTTACAAAAGAGCAAAGATGGAACGGAAGATCCGAAATCATGGAGTACTTTCATAAATGAGGACAAACTGTCACCTGTGAACGGGTTTCCATCCCGTTCTTAAATATAAACGGCACTTATTTCGATGGAACTTGGACTGAAAAGAAGTAAAGTAGTAAATGTGAGAATTATCTTTCACATGTGAGACCAGAGGCATTAAAAGGGTCATGCGCTATGCCACGCGTACGAAGACAATTTTCCGCGGCGGACCGCGAATTTATTGCAGTCATCATTGCGCTTCGAACGATACTACAAGCAGCAAGATGATCCTTGTCTCAGTGGGAGATGGAAAGTCTGAATGATTGCATAACTTCAATCAAATTGATCTACAAATGCCTCTCCAGCTCCACCTGAAATCAAGAACAGTAGGAGTCCATATCTAAATCGTAAAAGACCGTAGAGTTCGCATTTTGTTTGCCTGTTTGAAATAGTCTACTCGTGCAATCCATAGAAAAAAAAAACTAAGCAATTTAAGCATATCCTTATAATTTATAATTTCTTTAGAAACTATCAGCCTTTATCCTTATATTTTTGTGCACCATTCATCTGAAGAACTTTTGATCAATTTATCAGATTAGAATGTAGTTATCGTATTCATATTAGTGCATGTTACAGTTAGATGAAAACCCCCAGGATTTTCATTCCTGTGTGTATCATGTCACTGGGTGTAGGAATCTTGTCAATCAGTTGGCCTGTTTGAGACAGGGGAGCAAGTGGAGGTGTTGTTTAATGTTTCTGTGGTATTTGCTATCAAAATCAGTCCCAACTATGACTCAAATGAACGTAAGAACGCGCAAACTTTGGCCTGAATTTTTTAGCCTTCTTTTCTGCAATCCTCTGTGTGACAGTTGCCGAATATATTTTTTCATGCATGACCTAGAAAACATGTTTTAAACCTAGGAAAATGCTGAGAAAAGGTGACGAAAGTTGCCTCGAAAAAGAGGAAAAATATCTTGGTATCTCCTCCCCGCTCACGTCCCGAAAATATATTCTTCCTGTGACCGTTTGGTAAACCACAATGATATTCATAAAAACTCGAGCACGCATGTTTTTTTACTTTGTTTTTTATCGTTAACTATATGAGCCACCAGCTCACTCTTGTTGCAGTTTTTAATACCTGTTGGTTTGTAAAAATGCGACTGGCTTTTTGACTGGTGCCCAGTGATCGATAGAGAAAAGACAAAGGGGCGCACGAGTGTGGATTCAAACTGTTGATTTAGAACAAATTACTGTCTTCCGAAATGGGACATGTTAAGATCAAACGAGAAGTTTGTGTGAGCAAAACGCGTTACTGATAAGATTGTGATGATGGAGATCGCCTTTGTAGGCCAAAAACAACAACCTTGTTGGTTATCCAATCACCGAATGTAGGAATCATGTCAAAGCTCGTCTGGCGATCACATTTCGATCTATTTCTGCGATTCAGGAATGATCACCTCCAGTATCGAGTGCGACCTGGAAGTTATTGGACTGATTTCGTAAGCTTGGTTCATTTATTCGTTCTGTATATGTTTATACAAGGCTTATCAGATTGAAACGAGTGTTTCGCCTTCATGACGAAGTTTTCATCGGTGATCTTCGGGTACTGCCGGTCAGTCGGGAAGACTAACGAGGCGCTCTACCCAGCCTCTCGCGACCAAGTATCGCAGCTGTGTGATTAAATATGGCGGAGCTGTAATCTCTTACCTTGTCACTTACCGAAACAATTCTTCTATTTATCCGCGCTGAACTGAAACTATCCTGTATCAGGAAGTCGATGGAACATTGTCGTGGCGATGGCTACAAGGAATCTGACGGATATTTACGTAAATCTTCGCACCGAAATCAGCCGCTTCAAGGCATATTCGTTGGGTGACTCTGGTGTACGTTGTGATAGTCCAGGGGTACTACACATCATTCCGCCAACCATAGAAACAAACACCGTGCTATTTACTATAAGAACACTTTATAATCTTAAAAAAGCTACATACTGACGCCTCTTTCTTGTCTGGATTCAAACAGGACGATGATACAGTTGCCCTTGTTAGAAGAACGAGCGATCTTGAACTCGGGGTACAAGCCGGAGGAATAAGTTCTTTACCGCCCCAATGGTGTGTATAGTTTCGTCTCTCGCCTATGTAAACAAATTTGTACAATGCAAATTGAAACTTAAAACACACGATAACTCGATTGATTTTTGATTACCGTCGATCTCCTCAAACCTTAATTCAACGTTCGTGTATTGCATTAAAATTTCGAAAAGAAAGTTTAATGTCTTAACTGTATTTCATTTAATTAAGTGAGCATTATTATCACACAATAAATTGGAATGTACTGTAAACATGATGACTAGACGAACTAATGAAGAATTTAAAACAGTTAACTGCAGTCAAATATCATAGCTTCACATATAAATTATTTTAAAATTTGTCACTATCTTTTTTGAGAAATTTGACCCCTTCGGAGATGCTGAAGCGATTTTTTTTTACCAATTTAATTTCATATACTTGACTTGTCTTGTATTCGTTTTTATCATTGCAAAAGATGAAAAGCAAACTGGTTGGAAATAATCAACCAGAGGTAAAATTTGAACCACACATGTTCAAACTGATCTCAGTTACTTCAGTTTTCCTTTGTGGATTATGGTGATGTACGCAGCTGAACTAAGAAAATATATTTCAAGCTATTCTAAAATCATTTTGACGTGAAATACATTTTGAAACAACATAAAAACAAAAATGACAGTTGAGGGCCAGAATTTCTTGTCAGTTAAAAAGTGTTTCAATATTCTGTATCTGTAACCAAGTGTACCATATGAAGATCAAAAGTTTTCTTTCCACTGCCACTATTCAAAAGCATAAAATGATGGTCTGATTAACTTACAGGAATGTAAAGTGTTCATTAAACTGTAACTTACATAATATCTGATTGCACAGAGATGTATATTTTTTAAGACATCTCTTCCTACCCCAAAGTATAATATCAGATTTTAGTATAATTTCAGAGCTGAGCAAAGAGTTCTATCAATCTGTTTGGTCGAGCTCTTCCTTATATGATGCTATATAAACCGCTCCACGTGGTTTTTATAAAATATTGAAATAAAATGTTAATAAATGTTACTAAAATGTTATAATTTTAGAAATTTCTCTGTTGTTCAGCTCTGAAATTATACTAAAACAATTATTTGCCTCAGGTTCAGTGAATATTGTCGAGTAATCCCCTCAACTTTGTCTCTGGGATTATTCGACAATATTCACCTCGCCTTCGGCGACTAATTGTTAATTATAGCTACACTGTTTGTCATACAAGTATAACAACCTTTTAAACCCCAAGGGTGACCAACATCTGTTTTCTCCTTATAATTGTAATGTTGAATCTCTCATTAAGATCAGGACAATAAAGGAAATAGACCACTTTCATAAATGGCTGCCGGATTAATATTCTTTTGTTTAAATTTAAATTAGCCCTTCTGGCCTCGTTCTCCAGTACAAAATTCAAAAGAATACATTATCTCTAGCGAGACCAGAGGGGCTAATTTAAATTTAAACAAAAGAATATTAAATCGGCAGCCATTTTTGAAAGTGGTCTATGATCTCCAACTTAGAAGCTTTGATTGTTAAACAAATTCTCCTTGACAGTACCAAGGGAAATGTAAAGAGAGGGTTATGGAGAATATAGATACTGATGTTAGGGTCTAAAAGGTTCGCCATTTTTTCTTAACCGATTATACTCTTTAAATGTTGAATTTTGGATGCCAAGAGCATTACCATCTTTAGAAATCAGTTAACTAAATTAAATTTGGATACTGAAGTTAATTGCAATTGCACCTTCTGCGCTTGATTCATGCCTTCTGCATTATTTCAATAAGAGATTTTATTAGCCCTTAATCTGCAATATTTTTAGCTTGTATATTTCGGGCATATAGCATGTTTTTTTTTTTTATTTTTATTTTTTTGATATATATTTTCTCAAATTATTTATTCATTTATCATATTATAGTTTCTAATTATATTAGTTAGTATACATGTACATTTTTGTAACAGGCATCTTTTTGCTCATCAATGTTTCGTGTTTAAAAAAAATTATACTTACACGTGTATCCGAACATAGTCTGACTGTTTTTGACCTTGTTCCCTACCACAGGGTTGATGTTGTTGAGGAGGTAAGTTTTTTTTTTTCACTCTGTGGTTGTTGACATCATCATCAGAATGAAAAAGTAACTGAATGCTATAAACTGTAGTAAACTCTGAAACGTCTTTTGGTAAATTTAGATTCAAAATTATTGCAAAATCTCTGAGGGGGGATTTTGTTTCATGTTACTTTTTAGACTTATTTTTTATTTGCATAAGAGATATGCCATGAGATTGATGGACAATGTAAACATCCTGACGTGTTTCTCTCTGGCCTTGCATCTCAATCCTTGTGAATAAGAATGTGAATGATGTCTGAATTTGTGTGATGTAAAGTTCTCTCTGTCTATCAAGAACAGTCAAGGTGACCCTTATAAAGTAACATCCTGTGGTGTTTTTAAACCATATACTTTCAAGCAGAGACCTTTATTTCTACAATTTAACACTGATTGAATTTCCATTTTTTGCTCTATAGATTCAGTATGAAATCACTAGAATAAAACAAAGAAGTGAGTTTAACTCTTGGAGTCTGCAGATCAAACTATGACTTTTGAATTAGTATAATTATTCTAGCAGTGATTTTTCTCAGCTCGAGAGATCCAAGGTTACAAATTCCACTTGTTTAGGGTATACACTGCCTGTAAGTTAGCTGTGATTAGTTTAGAACAATATAAACTTTTATTCTTATTGTTTAGCTCTTCACTCTCATTAGTAATTCTCCTTGTTTGCCATTCAATTCTTATGATAATAGTTTGGAGAATTTGGTGTTAGATCAACCAATAATCCTCTCATTGATATTTTCTTTATTCTCATCACTTGCCTGCTTGATATTATGTTTATATTGTATGGAGAAATTTTATCTTAGTCACTGATGAGAGTTAAAAGGTTGAACTTGTTCTACAATTGGAGGCGCAGTGGCCTCATGGTTGGTGCGCTCGACTCTGAATCGAGTGGTCCGGGTTCGAGCCCAGGCCGGGACATTGTGTTGTGTTCTTAGGCAAGACACTTTACTCTCACAGTGCCTCTCTTCACCCAGGTGTATAAATGGGTACCGGCAATTTAATGCTGGGGGTAACCCTGCGATGGACTAGCATCCCATCCAGGGGGGAGTAGAAATACTCCTAGTCGCTTTATGCTACAGAAACCGGAAATAAGCACCGGCCTAATGGGCCACTAGGCTATTAAACAGACTTTACTTTACTGTTCTACAATTGCTTAAAGATTTGGTAATGTGGGTCAAAGTACTGACATAGCGCTGTTATCAGCTGTGATGTATGCAAGGATCCTGTCGAGTTCAGGAACACTATTCCTTTGCTGTCCTAACTACTTTACAAGGAAATGTGTAGCAGCTATAGGGGGAATTAACAATCGCATCTTGGTAGTGAAAGGTTAATGTTGTTGTGCTTGTGAAGTATCCTGGCTGTATAATCTCTTATTTTTCCATCAGTGCAAGAACTGGCAACTCTTCATGATCGTCATCTGAACAGACCAACCCTTGATGACAGTGTGGATGAAGAACAGACAATAGAAATAACAACAAAGGAAATAACACAGGTATGCTGTACAGGGGAGGGAGGGAGATGCAGTGGTTCAGTGTTAAATGAGCTGGACTACAGGTCAAAAGGTCCAGTTTTGAGTCCTGATCTGGTCTGTGTGCTTTTTTTTTTTTCCAGGGAAGCCTGATGAAGTGCTGGGGGAGGGGGGTGGGGGTAGCCTTGCCATGGACTGGGGCTCTACCAGGGGGTAGTAGTGGTCACTTCTTGCTATGGAGACCAGGGACAGGTCATTTAAAGCTGGTTTAAGATAATCCAGGGTTAAGATGAAATTTGATTTCAGAGCTGTAAGGTTTGAAAGAAAATCCACTTTAATTAATTTTGTCTACAATTTGATATTTGGATGTTCTCAAAAGAGTAGGAAGATTATCTCAAAAAGCCTTGTGAACAGAGAAATGAAGAAACCAAGATTAAAATTTAACCCTGGGTTAGTGCTAATTGGCCTTTGCACAACTGGGCCCAGGATAAGCTGTGGTTGATCAAATGGGCCACTTGGTGCGGGTACAGACTTACACTCTATAAATTTTACTGATACTCACATTGCACATGTACATGTTTATAGCAAAGGATTTTGTCACAATGGTAGCTAGTAGCAGACCAAGTATTTATTTTTTTTGTTTTTGTTTTGGACAGATGTTCCATCAATGTCAAGGCTCTATTCAGAGAATAGGACGCCAGAGTAGAAATTCTTCCAAACAAGAAAATCGTCTTTTAAAAAATGTCATGTCCTCATTAGCTGTTAGTCTACAAGAACTCTCTACCAATTTCCGGAAAGGGCAGTCATCATATTTGAAAAGTAAGCTTTTGTTTAGTAGTTACTGTCAGTGACATTTCTGTCTTTTTATTCTATAAAAAGTGTTTTCATTCTTCCACTGCACCCATTTACCTGGTTTGTGTTAATTTGTTTGCCCCAAAAGCATGAGGATAACCCCAACCATTGCTTAAATAAAGGCCACTAATATCGCTTAATAGTGGCAGCCAGAAAATTTCAGTGACTAAGAGAAGGGGTTTGCTTACTGAATTATAGAAATTAATCCATGAGAAGAATTTTTAGACAAGTCACAAGCTTCTCTTGGTACTGATCATTTCCTAGGAGAAATTAGATACCAGTCACTCCCAGGAATTGACTGTGAAAGCTTGTAATGAAATAGCATTCTGTTCTGAACACAATCTGGCATTTGCCTCAGCACTAATTAAAAGTTCATATACAGTATGCTTTGGAAAAGTTACAGTCTAAAAGTTCCCTGAGATCATACTTTTTAAGAATACTTTTTTGTCCTGATTGTCTTCTAGGACTAAAAAACCGAGAAGAAAGGGAAAGGCAATATTTTGATACAGGATTACCTGCTACCAGTAGTGCACTTATGAATGAAGATGTAGTTGAAGATGATGAACTATATGACAGGGTAAGTTGAAACAGATTCTGATCTAAAGAAGGAAATCTAGCAGAAAAAGATTCCTTAGTGAGTTATAAGAAATAAGCCAACTAATCACAAAATTAAACCTCAGAAGCAGATGAGTGGCAAAAAATCTCTAGGGACCATTTGTTATTTATGGCAGAGGAGGGTATTTTTTTTGGGGGGGACATGATTTTCTGGGGGGAATGGAGGGGAGATAAGTTGTCACTATAGAGGGGGACTAATAAAAATTAACTGCCAATGAAAGGAGGGGGGGGGTCAGGAAAATTGTTATCCATTTGCTCAATGTAGATATGATTTTTGTTTTTAAATGTAAATGTTATATACAACCATATGACCTTTGCAGTTAAAAACCCATTGAAAGTATTTTAGCAGTAAGATTTAAGTTTAGTCACTCACACAACACTGCTACATTGCTGATGCTAGCAGTGTGCAGAAAAGAACCTCGTCAGAGCTGAACTCAGGAAAGACCTCACTACCAGCAAGTTCTCTCTTTGCTAGTGGAAGTTCATTGCAGTGAGAAATCGAAATGTTTGCTTAGGGCTGGACATGAATGATAGCCCACTAAGCACAGACTAGTAAAAATTCAGTTTTTGCTAGTGTTTTTCAAATTTCCATCAGCCAGTTTGGCTAATAAACAAACTGAAATTGTCGTAACGTCTAAAATGCCTCTGGCCACTTTGTTAGTAAGTTAATAAGTTAGTGTCAAGCCCTGTTACTTTCTCTTGGAGGACTTATTTTTTTCCTTGCTCCGTGCTCATTCTAAAATGAGTAACATCCTTCTTTCAACCTTTGATCCTTAAGAGTGATTACTTTCTAATTTCTCCTTACAAAATCACCCCGAATCAAACATTAATGTCAGGAGAATAAAGCAAATGATTGCACTCTAAAGAAGCCCTTGATTGTTAATCAAATTCTCCTTGTCAACACCTTAGGAAATGTATAGAGAACAGTGTGGAGAATATGCATACTGATGTTTGGGTGTTAAGGGTTAAACTAAAACACTATTTCCTTGAATTCCTTTACTCTTTTTTTTAAATTTCTTGAAACATCTCTTTGCAGGGTTTTACATCAGACCAGATGAGGTTGGCAGAGGAGAACAGTGCTTTAATTGAACAGAGAGAAAAAGAAATCCAATCCATAGTCCAGTCAATATCAGAGCTTAATGAAATATTTAGAGACCTCGCTACCATGATTGTAGAACAGGTAAGGTCAATAATTCTAAGAGCCTTTTCTAAGAACATTCACTCCCCCCACCCTCCCCCACCCCTTTTTTTCCACTATCACTCACCCCCTTGGTACAAATTTCTTTCTCTCCCCAGCCTTCCCCTTCCACTGACTACTATTCTTTTCTGCATTTTGCATCCTGCTTCTCTCTCTCTTTGAGCCCATGTCTCTTCTTTATTATTATTTTCCATGAAAGCGGGTGTGGGCTCATAAAAATTATCTGATAAATCAGTAGTACTGGTTATGACAAAATATTGGTAGAAACTGCTTTACAGCTATTTATCCCAGTTAACCACTGGTAATTGACTAATAATGGAAATTATATTTGCAGGGTTCAATTTTGGATAGAATAGATTACAACGTAGAACAAGCAGCTGTGAAAGTTGAAGAGGGCTTGGAGCAGCTTAGAAAGGTTGGTGAAAGATACTGGCTCAGGATTAGTGAATAAAGATGTTTTGGGTCAAGTGAGCTCTGTTTTCTTCTTATAGGACTAATTTTGAGACATCTGCCTCATCTCCCTAATTTGACCTGTTCTTGGATCTTCTACTTAAATTCTCTTTTTAGCTACTACTCTTTAAAAGCTAGAAAAATAAAATTGTCACCTTTGATAATTTTGGTTGAAGTTGTGTCTGGACCTTTGTTTGGAAAGTTTGCAAATCAAAAAATGCTCAGTCTTGAGATCTGATTAATGATTGACCGGTCCAACTGCTATAAGTTTCCTCTTGATCAGGTTAGGACAATTCAGGGTTCTATTGTTCAAAGGGAAAACTCTTAAGCTAATTGATTTATTTATTCTTAGTCTGTATTTGGTGGTTTTGAATGCACTTTGAAGAGGGAAGGAAAGGGTGATCCTGATCCTGTTTCACACTAAAATAAAAAAAAAATTCATGCATCACAAATACATTGCACAGGTGTCAAATTTAAAAGCGAAAACTTAAAATCTCTCTAATCAAGTTTCAGGGAAAGGTCTTCACAAAATGAAAGAAAAGACATATGGGTAATATATATTTCAGGAGGCAAAACACATTTCTAGTTCACTGATCATGCTGAGCCTCATTTATCTGTAAAATTTATATGTGATGTATTAATAGGCCTTTTGCAGCTAGAGATCACGTGCTTAGATACCACATTGCAACTCTATACTGGAGAGCAAGCACTGCAGAGCAAGCACTGCATTGGAGGTCACAGAGGTCTGCATTCAAACAAACAAACAATATAGCAGATAACAGGTCAAAGATATCCCAATTCGAGAAATCCAGTAAGAAGTAATCAACAGCTTCCCCGGAGTGTATCAGCAGCAAAATCACACCAAAATTCGTTTTTCGCTGATACACTCCAAGGAAGCTGTTGATTAAAACTTACAAGATTTCTCAAATTGGGATACCGTTTAACTTGTTATCCGCTGTATTCTTTGTTTGAATGCAGACCTCTGTGATCTCTATTTTGTCTGAGATCACTGGAGTGCTTGCTCTCCAGTATGGCATTGCTATGCGCTATCTAAGCACGTGATCTCTAACTGCAAAAGGCCTATTTTGACCTTATTCATGTGTCTCTTACAAACCCAAATATTTCCCTGCAAGCTAGCCTTCACTCAATTCTTATTACCCATTTGCTAGTTAGTGTATTGAAACTGTAGGGAGAAACTACTGGTCAATCACTCCTGGCATTTTAAAGGTTTAATCTGATTTGATAGCATTTGCAGTTCAGAGCTTTTAACTCATGTCACTTTTTTTTTTCTTATATTTTCTTTCAGGGTGAAAAGCACCAGAAATCCACACGCAAGATGTTATGTATAATCCTTTTAGCAATTGTTGTGATTATCATGCTGTTAGCTCTTGTAATAGTGAAAGCTAAGTAATGAGCATGTTTCTGGTCCATCCATTTCCTTTATTTTAGGTTGTTTAATATTAATTTGTATATTTGCTACAAAATACAATATGTATGGTTACATAAAAGGAAAATCTAAGTTTTTGTAATTGGAAGAAGTTTCATGAAGTTTTTTAATGACAGCACTGTCCATGATAACTCAAGTCAAGACTGAAGATCAGGGGAGTCTTGCCTTGAAATCTGTTGTTTCATTGATGTGTTAATAGTTATGATATTAATGAATGTTTGATTGTTTGTCTCACAAATTAAGAATCAGGCTAATAACAACAACAACAACAGCATTTATTTAAACACGATAAAAAATTCAGCAAAAGCTGATGTGGTGGTAATTGCAGCATTTTGACTGCAATCACTGGAAGATTGACGAGCCTGATTCTTATATCATGAGACAAATGGTGAAATGTTCATTTATCTATAAAACCATGATGAATGACCACATTTGCCATGGCAATAATGAACGTTTATACGGGATAGCCATTTAACACATAAGTACTGTTGGCAAAAGGATCCTGTTTAAATAGAAATATAAGAAAAAAAAAAAAATTAAAAATACGATTGAAATGACTGCATAACCTATGCTACCATACTACCATTGTAGTAGCTACACAATACAAAAAAATTAATCTAATAGGGAGGGGTTGGTGTGCGGTTGCTCAAATGCTAGCCATTGATCCCAATACCCTACTGTTAATCACCCTGGGGCCCATTTCTCAAAAGTCCCGGTAGCGTAACAACCCAAAGCCATGTCCCAGGGGGGAACTCCCTTAGAAGGGCTTAATGGGGACATGCGGCCAGCCAGGGTATGTTTTTCGAGATTTTTGTCTTAAGCAGGGTATTGAATTTATCATTTTTTGTCTTAATCAGGGTATCGATTTATCAATTTTTGTCTTAAACAGGATACCTTTTCTTGGAAGATAAACAGCAAAATTTTTACAAGCTCTAATTTTAATTAATATTGAATTCCATTGATTTTGGCATTGATACCAGGCACATTAAATGTCTTAAACAGGGTATGAAAAATCGGAATTCTGTCTTAAACAGGGTAGGAAAATCAGCGATATTTGTCTTAAACAGGGTCAGGGTATGAGGGGCCGCGCCGCAC